TTCGATTGGCTCAGATTTTGACAGTTCATTTGGCTCAAAAAGCCGGCGCCGGTGGTGTAGTGGCAAGCGTGACTGCTTTCTAACACCCCAATGGGTCTAGGTTCAATCCCCAGCCGAGGTCGGTGGGATTTTTCTGAGGCATAAAAATCTCTGGTCACGTCTTCCTTCGGAAGGGAAGTAAAGCCGTTGGTCCCGGCCCATGTGTGTTGTGAATGGGTGCGATATCCTACGCAGGTGTGGAAGCTGCCTTCCTGCACCTTCGGTTGCCGTCAATGGATGGCAATCGATGTCCGTCGGTGATTGGCACTAGATTGCGGAACAGAGACCGACGTTAAATAAAGGAAAGACGATTTGGCTCAAAACATTCTCTCCGCTCATCTCTCCTCCTAGTATTTCTATTCTAGATGCACTTCCACAGTTATTAATTGAGAACTTTCGATGCCTGTACCATTTTTGCATTGGTATAATTGTGTGGCAAGTCCAATCATACTTCTAAGCCCGGGGAAGTCGAGAAATTTTCCAACCCGAAAAATTCCTAGACCGGACCGAGAATTGAACCCAGCCACCCATCTGTCAAACTTTCATAGCGAATCAAAACAAACATAGTGTAGTACTAGAATTTCGACTAGAAAGCGATACGGTAATCGATTTGCTTGGGACCAATAGGCTAGTCAAGTAGTGAGTCAATTTTAAGGTGATACTCTAAGGAAGCCTTAGCGTGAAACTTTAAAGGCACAAATGTCAGCTTCCACAAAACATACAAATTTGAAATTGCTACTCCTTGTTTGCTGTGCTACCACAATACCATAACATAACATTTGATAACGGCACAAAAGCATTTGTAAACAAACTTCCTAAGGCCCTTTACACGCGAACCAAAGTACTCCCACGCAAACCAACAACATCATCGGATAAAGGCAACTATCACCTTTCCGAAAGTGGTATTGGTTTGCGTGGGCGTACTTTGGTTCGCGTGTAAAGGGCCTTAGAAAGTTTGTTTACAAATGCTTTTGTGCCGTTATCAAATGTTATGCCTGATATGGTGATATCAATAGCTTTGCACATCATAGTTAAATATTCTACAATATTCTACTTTATCGACTTCTACTTTGCCGACTCTAAAAACGAATCGACAAATATATATAAACAAAACTGCCAGAGGCCAGAGCTTTCACATATCTTTTTAATGGGTCTGATTTGGGATTCGATCATGGACTGCCGGAGTCTTCGTTCGATCCCACTGTGCCACGGTTGTTCTCATATATGAGGCGGGTTGATAGGATAAAGTCACAACTCTTGTTTTCGATGTTTACCTTTCTAAGCAAGCAATTCACATCGCATTGAAATGCACAACACTTTAAATCCATCTGTTTTAAACAGTAGTGTGATTCAATGTGCAACACTTGAATAGATAGTGAAAGAGTTTCAACATTTCAAGGCTTGAAACACTAGAAATTAACGTGTATAACACATTGAGCCAAGGTGAAATACACTTCAAGTAAATCTGATTGTGCATTTAAAAAATCAAGTGTTTAAACACTTCGATCAAACGTGTGGAATTTTTTGAGTGTATCTAGAATTGTATCACTCAGGCTACACTGTAAATAATTGTGGAGACGGATGTCCTCATGAAATGAAGTAGTGTCCATTGGTTTGTTGGAGGATCTTTTAGTGCCAATGCGCTGAAATGCAGTTTTCATTTACTTTTCTATTCAAATAGCTTCAGATTTCTTCAATTTATCTTGCGAACTTTCATCTGACTTGTTGTCTTAAATGTTTTATGTGTTGTCATGTGAACAAGGTCTCCAACTCGATCTTCAAGGAATGATATAGAAGAGTGCACGGATGGATTTGAGTTCACTCACTCGACAAAAAGTGACACAACAGCGGGGCCCTGTTTACTAAAAATGAACACATAAAAAATGCTCGCGTAACACTTTTGAAAAGGGCCTATCAACTTTTGTAAAGAAACTTCCTAGGTCCTTTTCACGAGAACCGAAGTACGCCCACGCAAACCAAGAGCACTATTGGGAAGGGGAGAATTTCCCCTAGCCGATGGTGTTGTTAGTTTGCGTGGGCGTATTAGGTTCGCACGAAAAGGGCTTAACAAGTTTTGTGTACAAAAGTTGATAGGCCCGTTTCAAATATTACGTGAGTATCATTCATGTGTTCATTTTTAGTAAACAGGGCCCCGCTGTTGTGTCACTTTTTGTCGAGTGAGTGAACTCAAATCCATCCGTGCACTCGTCTGTTGATTCAGTGTTCGAAAATCCTAAAAGCAGCTGTCAGTGACGATTGTCAATTTCGGTTGTCAAATCTGACGTCAAATGCTAATTCTGGATCTACAATAGAAAAGGGCTCATCAGCATTTGTAGACAAACCATTCCAAAGCCCTTTACTCACGAAAGCCACCCACGCAAACCAACACCATCATCGGATAGCGGAAACTTCCACCGACACGATTATTTTGTTGGTTTGTGTGGGCGGCCTTCGATTTGTGAGGAATGGGCTTTGGACCGGTTTGTTTACAAATGCTGATGAGCCATTTTCTATTGTTGATTCAGAATTTTTCTCTGAACTGGATGAACATCGACGCGCAGGTAGTTTGTTCGTTCCCCGGGTCATGAACTGCCAAAACTGGCACACGGCGAATGAGAACGACCCAATCGACTCATAATCGCCAAAAGTGCAGGACCTCAGCGATGAGTAAAATTTGTCTCATGATGTCCTGTATAAAACCTAACAAATCTGCCGGAAAATGAGGAAATTGACGAAAATTTTATTAAAGTCTCGGAGTAGTACTAATAGACTGAGTGAATCTAGGAGTGAATCCAATCTTTACTTTTCTCAAATTCGGAAATTTTTCCCTGGAAAATCCTGGAAAAACCTGGGAAAACATGAGGCAAATTTACTCATCGCTGAGTTCCTGCACTTTTTGCGATTATGAGTGAACTAAACTCAAATTAGGGTCGTTCTCATTCGCCGTGCAGTAATGCGAGAGAACCCTAATAAAATTGTTATGGTTATTTTGCTTAACGACTTGTTCGGGGTATCATCCAAACCATTTTAGGAATAGTTCTATTATTTGGGTTATCATTCGTTTATGGTATTTTTTAAGAGGAAGCTTGATGATGACGCCTGTGCAGCTAGCTACTGCACTAAAATGAGTGTACTGCAAGGGCACTCCTCCTCATGGTCTCTCGTCGCGCCCGGTGTACAAACAACACGGGGGAAATTTGAACGCTCTCTTAAGGAACGTTCCAGACAGTATTTTGCAGAAATGTTTGAGACAGCCAAGCCATCGACCAACGACGCAAACCCCTTCGCTCTTTTGTCAGATGACGAGTCTGACTTGGCTGAGGAGGGAACTCCTTTCAGTTTTCCGGAAGTTTCTTCAGGGAAACGAAGACGCATCCGTTCGCGGATAATCGCTGATCAGGAACCGCAAATCAGCTTACCCAAATCAAAGAGTGGTGAAAAAAGACAAGTTTCAAATCCTCCTGGAATTTTGGGTGTTTTTTTATACACCAGTATTTTGTCAAGCAGTTTCGAGGTTACTTTTTATTTTTATTGATTTTCATAAATGTCTACATTTCTTAATGTTCTGAACTAGTACATATCTAGAAAATATCGAGAATTTATTTAATATCGACATTTAATCGATAGCATAATAAGACGTCTTCAGGCTCTACAAATTGGCTAAGAGTTCAGGAATTTTTCTTTAAACTCAGGGAACTTCGTAAAACTTCAAACGTAAAACTAACTTCTAAGAAGTTCAGATGACATAGTAGAAATTAACGAAACTTAGTAGAACTTCTGGGAACTTCATAGAGCTTCAGAAAAATTGTGCGTTGATCTTTTGCATTGCAGTTATAAGCTGCCATTGATTTTGCTTGGCCTTCGGACTGCTATTAGGGACGATTCCAATTGCTCCGAGGCGGAAATGGTTTACGGACAACCACTCCGCATTCCTGGCGAATTTTTCGAGGAGCACAAGGATCTATCAATCGATCGATCGGATTTTGTGAAATCACTTCGCCAAGTAGTCGAGAATATCAAACCCATTGAAGACGTTCACTACCCATAACCGCATATCAGTCCCATATGGATAGGAAATCAAGCAAAGATGAGACTTATATGAGTCATCATCCCAAACAGCGTTTGTTTTTACCTAACGACCTTGGAGCATGTAAATACGTTTTCGTCAGGATAGATACGGTTAAACGATCTCTGCAACATCCGTATGAGGGTTCCTACGAAGTAATCGAGCGAGGAGACAAACACATGCTAATCTACATCAAGGGGAAGAAGCAGAAGATCTCCATCAACAGATTGAAGCCGGCTTATTCATATAATCAAACCGTGGAGTCACACCCGGTTCCTGGCGTCAGACTTACGCCCTCAGGCCATCGAGTAAGATTCCTGGCGTAACTGGTGGACGGCAACACTGCCACCGAAGAGAAAAACAGATTTAGAGACTAGAAAGAGTTGATTTATTCGTCTTGTCCGATATTACCCGAATAACCCGGAACGTCCGTAATTCCCACAGGTCATTCAATTTATCAATAATTAACGCAATGGAAACAATTTTACCTAGCTACGGATCGTACTCCATTAAAAGTTGACAACACTGCTCTGGAGACAGTAAAGCAGAGGAGATTATTAAGCGAGTGTCTGGATTATGCATTAAAGAAAAGGAGAGATTAAATTTATTGGAAAGTCTAATCGATTTAGTAAACCAGGACATACGAAAAAGGACTGCAGGAGACCAGCAAGTAACGGCTATATCGGTCGTGAACGGTAAGACAATCACCTTTATGGGAAGTTACGGAACTACCGAAGAGGCCCAATAATTGTGGAAAGATAACTTTCTGTGTGGATTTGAACGGTTTATCAATTGATCACAACCCAAATGTTCTACTTAACGGACCTTTCACAATCTTTAGCTTTTTAAATAGCAGATGAAAAAAGTTGCACCCACAAAAAAGTTGAATACTCACTTGAACCACTCAGCCAGATGTTCAGTATGGCCACCGTGTCGACAGGTCTGACACCACGAGAACCACTTGGAGAACGGCTTCGATTGCCAGCCGATCTGGCCCTGGGCGGCATGCCCTTGCGAGATGGCACCCATCGTCGTTCCCATGTGCAGTAGACACAGCGCACACCGTGGCAGCGGCTTCCGACAGTTCGGACACGAGGACAGCTTATGCATAACGGCCGCATTGCTCCGAAGGCGGGCATCCTCCTGCAGGGCCATCGAGACGTTCTTACCGCAAAAGTTGCACAGCAGGAACACGGAGCGCGAGTTCTGTGGCGGCGAACGGATTCGCCCCAGAGTTATATCTAGCTGGGCACGCTGTTCCCACAGGCCCCAGATATCGAGCAGGTCCCGGTAGGTGGAGATCCAGTACTGAACGCGGTAGTCGGTGAGCAGATCCGAGGTTAGGAAGCGAGCGGCAATCAGCGCTACAGTCTGGACGTCCTCCGTTCGATCCAGGTGGCTTTGCAGAAGCTTGATGCCATCGTTGGTGGCACCGGTCAGTAGGAGCCCGTTCAAATCGCCCGATTCGATGCAGTTGGCGACCATGCCTTTGATGTACTCGGCAAGCTTGAGATCCGAGAGAAAGTTGCAAGCGAAAGCCATCCGATCGCAGAGGGAAATCTCCGTTTCGTTGGTTACGGTTTCGAAGCCGTCTTTTTCATGCGCCAGGAAGGAGAACATACACCGGAGGTACGGGTCATCGATTTGCGTTCGGGCAGCACCGCATTGCTTGCGCCAAAGGCCGGAACGTTCGGCACTGAATCCGGACAGGGCTATGGCCGCTACTCGGAGCAGGGAGCTAGGATCGGATGATTGTTCTGCTCCACGACCAAGGATGTCGATGGCCTGCTTAATCCGAAAGTGGAAACAAGCAATCAGAGCTGCGCGGGTGTATTCCTTATTTGAGCAAAGTTCATCGATGAATGCTAGGAACGAGGACTCCTTGCTCCGATCGAATGTCCATCCGCAAAGCAGCTGAGCTGTGTCTCGGTGTTCGCTTCGGTAAACTACCAGGCCGCTTCCGATACTGAAATCGAGCCATTTCATCATGACCGGATCCGAGCGGGACATTGCCGGCCCATCCGGTGCGCTACAAACTCCAAGGATAGTGTTCAAACCGAGTTTGCAATCTTCTTTGATCATGTGACTGAGCAGACGCCAAACTCCTCGCAGATTTGCATTCCCAGCGAGATCGCCGTTACGATGCATCTCCGCCGTCAGTCCGTAGTTGTTTAGTGCCCTTTTCTGGATTGTCTCAGCGATGTCTTCCTCGTAGCTATCGATTCCACAGTCCCATTGGTTCAACGAATCTGTAGGAGACGTCGGTGGGGAAGGCGATGTAAACTGCTGCAGCTCGTTCCCGTTGTTGCCGTACAGATTGTTATTATTGTCCCATGAGATTGCTACCCGCTGAGGGATTCTGTAGTCGCAAATGGTCCCCGTTCCGGATAGGGCCAACATTCGTTCCAAATCGAACGGATGCCACGAAAGGTAGCCCATGGTAGGCATTCGATTCCCGGTTCGTGCTTGAAAGGGGGAAACGAACCGCTTGATCGAGTGTGGATCTCCGCCGTCCATCTCCGAGCCGGGCCAGTGTAGATCGATCAAGTTGATAAGCGGTGAATCTCGTTGCAGCGTGGTCAGAACAGAAGAGCGCGTTGGACACCACGACAGGTGGGTAATGTTCTTCTGCATCTGAATCTGACTGATGGGTTTATCGAGCGAACGCAAATCCCACAAATTGATGACGTTGTCTACGTAGCTGGATAGGTAGCGACCGTTCGGAGCGATGCACAATCCGTTGACGGTGCGGGCGTTGGCCACCGTTACAATCGCGGGATTTTCTGTGAATGAAATTACCTTTCGTAAATCTCTAATCAATGATGCGAAGATACCGGTAAACTCACGTCTGAAATCCATCATCTTAATATGCTTGTGACTCATCCCGGCGATCATGACCTGCGGGAAAGTCTTATCCCAGCAGATTGAATGTGCCGTTTCCGATAGGCCGATTAGTTGAAGGATTGCTAAAACAAAGAATAAATTCCCGTTATTACGGAAACATCCCCTGTAAGTTATTGCAAAATCCTTACACGACTGATTCGGAACGCCCCGTTCCGTATCCCAGATGGTGATGCAGTGATCCGAACGATTTCGATCGTGTCCCATTGCCAGCAGACTTGGTTCCAGCTCACTCCATGCGAGACATGTGCACGGACGCGACAATCTCGGTGCTGCACACAGAAAAAAGCCATAAGTAAACCTTCAAAAATACCTTCAATAAGAAATCCCTACTAAATTCCACATTATTCTCGGAGGCGAAATTGCACAGTGCCACCTTTCCATTTGGCAGCCCAGTTGCGAACAGAATCTCCCCCGTCGAGTGGTAGGACGGTGCAACCGACCGGATGAACTGATAGCGCGTCTCGAAGGCAATCAGCGTGGCAGTGGTGTTTTTCGAAATGTTCAAGTTTATATCTGTGAACGAATTGGAATGAACTTGTTGTTTAGAAATTGTAGAAATCAAAACCTACGCAACTCACTGGTATTAATGCCATGATCGATCAGATCTCGATGCTTCACTTGGTAAAGGTTGATTTCCGACCCGGCTGCCGTGAGGAATCGATCCGGATACTTGGGAAACCAGTGAAGTTCGACTACGGTTTGAGTCATGGTTGTTTTTGTTGTCGTACCCTATTCAAGCTTTCATATTACTGCACCAATCTATTCTAATCGATTTCCACTCGCAAAAACGGCAGTTTACTTCACGGATGAGGAAAATGCTTTTAACTTGATGGAATTTTCAGTTTTCCGGTGAGATTTTCTGTTATCAAAGCGCACATCGACTGTTGGTACTGATAAGAGTGAACACCTTGTTTTGGTAAATACGCATCAACCGGTGACGAATATTTTGACAGATGTGAACGATCGGCGCGCGCGAAGTTAGCTCTCTGAATCAGAGCTGCCAGATTTTCACCAGAAATGAATATCAATACCAGAGCTTAAAATTATTGACCGCCTACCCGCATAAACGCGAACCATGCCAAACGAACCGATAATGGTTATAAATTGTTTATAATCCCTGCTAAACTTCAACTGAAATGGTTATGGAACTTTACATGAACGTTTGTGTGATAAAGTTTTAACCTTATGTATTATGGTTTTTTGGAAGCGGACCTTACAAATAACACTAGTTTACAAAACAACATAAAAAGTGTGAACTTTAGTGGTTGACCAACGTTTCTAATGCAAAATCCTACGCTGAATTCAATGCCGTGGTCAGAAAAAATTAAAGTAGAGCCATTTTTGAGATATACAAACATTTTGATTTTTTTGAATTTTGGGCAAAAGTACGATTACTAAAATGTCAATATCTTTGGAACTAGTGCACCAATTTTAAATCTTTTTTTATGAAAATGAAGCTAAATAAATTTGCTATCGTTCACTAGAATATTACGTCTTGATTAAAAATTTTATTTTGAAGTCATTTAAAAATTTACAGCATTTTTTTTTTTATTTTTCCTGCGAATTTTCCATAAAAATCTTGTTTTAATCAACATTTTTAATGGGATAAAAAGATTCAAAAAATCATTCCATAATTTATTCTTAAAGTCCATTAAAAACTGGAAAGAATAAGCCTTTAATGGATGAAATTGGTTGGAAATTGTCGAAGTTATGAAATTTTTTGTAACATCATGCAAATTGAATGTTCAAAGATTGGCCGTTGTCCCGCTCCTAGGTTCATGCACCACTTCCAGTAAGCCTTTCTGCGGACGTGTACGCATACGGTGCATTTCACTAACACTACCAGCTGTCACGCAAAATTAAATGGGATATTTTCAACAATATAATTTACGCTAGTGTTTGTGAGACCGCTCGGCGAGAACCTAACGCAACCAACTCAATTTGACAGCTTTCTTTCTTTAACATTGCTTAACGATGTATACGACAAAACGTGAATTCAAGTGTAAAAATGATCCTCAAAAGTTTTGTTACGCGTGTGGCAACTATATATTTACAAAATCGGTCAATTTCACTGCTTCGTTGCAAACTGCATACAGGCTTTATTTTAAAATTGATCCTGGAAGACTTTGACAAACCGTGGATTCCAAAAGTATTATGTAGTTCGTGCAAAACGTGCTTGGCTAGGTGGATGTCAGGCGCAAGGTAAATTGATTTTTTGAATAACTTTCATATAAACAATTTATGTACAGCATGGTAGTGCTTTGTTCTTTCCTGATCGACATTATCTTACTTCATCTATTTTTGATAAGTGTTAATGTCTTACTTACTAACTCACTTATTTGTTATCTGTCAGTCGCTATTTGTCCTTTGACATGCCCACCATATGGCGTCGACCGTTTTGTCATGCAACGGATTGTTATTTCTGCTTGACAAAAGTTAAGCAACAAGGACGTCACAAAACAGTTGAGTATCCACAAGTGGCTTCTATGACAAAACCTGTTCCACATTCAAGTTCGGTCCCGTATCCTGTTTATCCAAAGCGGAAACGAGCGCCCTCTGTTGAATCGACCGTTACAAAAAGTGATGAGGAATTCAAGGAGGAATGCGAGGAAGTCTTCGAGGTGGAATTGGAAAGAAACCCAAAACTGTTTACACAATCCGAATTTAATGATTTGGTGCGAGATCTCGACTTATCGAAGGAGAAATCCGAATTGCTGGCATCACGCTTGAAAGAACACAACATGCTGAGCAAGGAGGTCAAAATTTCTTGTCACAGGAATCGTCACAAGAAATTTGACAAATATTATTCTACAAAGGACAAGGCATGTTTTTGCCATGACGTAAACGGCTTGTTTGAAGAGTTTGGTGAGCCATATGATCCAGCTGAATGGCGTTTATTCATCGATAGCAGCAAGTTGAGCTTGAAAGCCGTTTTACTGCATCAAGGGAATGAGAAACCTTCTATTCCATTAGCTCATGCCGTTAATATGAAGGAAACGTATGAATCAATGGCTCTATTGCTCAATTTGATAAATTACAATCAACACAATTGGAAAATTTGTTCCGATCCATGTTGACTGGATTGCAACAGGGATACACAAAATATATGTGTTTTTTGTGTAAATGGGACAGTCGAGCTCGTAAGGAACGCTACGTCCGAAAAGATTGGCCAAAACGGGATAATTTCACAATTGGTAAAGACAACGTTAAAAATGATCATCTTGTGGTAAAAGAACGCACCACTACATATAAAACTTGGGCTATTCAAAAATTTCGTCAAAGCGTTGCAAAAAGAAGGGCCGGCATTCCAGTACTTGAAATCAGTATTTCCAAATTTATCTGACGCAAAGATAAAGGAAGGTGTATTTATTGGCCCACAGATCAAAAAACTGCTCAATGATTCCGCATTCAATACAGTTTTGACACCAGATGAGGAAGAAGCGTGGAAATCGTTCCAGCGTATTGTCACAACCTTTTTAGGAAATTTCAGAAGCCCAGATTATGAGGAAGCCGTCGATGAATTGCTCAAAAATTATGAGAAAATAGGTATAAATCAAAAATATTGTGTTTGTTACATATAATTAATTTCAAATCCTTTTATTTCACTGAACACAGGTGTGAATATGTCTTTGAAGATACATTTCCTACATTCTCACATGGATTTTTTCCCGGAAAATCTTGGTGACGAGAGTGATGAGCACGGCGAACGTTTTCACCAACAAATGAAGATGATGGAACGTCGTTACCAAGGGTTTTGGGATGAAGCAATGATGGGTGACTATTGTTGGTTTCTGATTCGAGAAACAAGTTCAAAACATCGAAGACAAAGTCATTCGATTCTCAATAACTTTTAATAAAACCTAAATAAATTTCTTTTGTATCAACTCGGTTTTAAATCCTGATATGCCTTAATCAAATTGATATGTAGAGAAAAGACTCTCCCATGAAAACTTTACATGCGATTTGGATGCTTACAACGACTCCTAGAAAAGGAACTCTAAAGCTGTTGTATTTCAGCAATATTTTTAAGTGTTTTACAAAAATGCTCATAACTTCGACAATTTCCAACCGATTTCATCCATTAAAGGCTCATTTTCTCTGGTTTTGAATGGACTTTAAGAATAAATTATGGAATGATTTTTTGAATCTTTTTATCCCATTAAAAATGTTGATTAAAACAAGATTTTTATGGAAAATTCGCAGGAAAAATAAAAAAAATGCTGTAAATTTTTAAATGACTTCAAAATTAAATTTTTAATTAAGACATAATATTGTAGTGAACGATAGCAAATTTAGCTTCATTTTCATAAAAAAAGATTTAAAATTGGTGCACTAGTTCCAAAGATATTGACATTTTAGTAATCGTACTTTTGTCCAAAATTCAAAAAATCAAAATGTTTGTATATCTCAAAAATGGCTCTACTTTATTTTTTTCTGACCACGGCATTGAATTCAGCGTAGGATTTTGCATTGGAAATGATCATCACCTTACTGACTTCAAAAATGCTGTAAACTAGTGTAATGGGTTGTTAAGAACCATTACCATTCCAAATTCTTGTTTTCTCCATACATTTTCGGAAAGAGAACTATATTAGAACGTTTTTACTTATGGTTTGAGAACATTAATGGTTATGGTTATGGTAGTCAGTAAGGTCTATTAATGGTTTTGTATTATCACTCAACTTTACGTGAAATATATCGTGAATTGGTAATCAGTAATTTACAGTCATTCAAAACAAATATTGGGTACCATCCATCACAGCAGAATAAACGTGTTGACTGAGCTACTGACTGAGTGCTTGGCTGTCAGTGACTCGTTTACCAAGGTGCCTACGTATAGGTGTTCTAATGTGTCAAATTCATGATTCAGCCATGATAGATTTTTGTATGGGACAGCGACCGAGTTTGTTTACAATTTACTCTAAACCCGCACTTTTCCCCCCCGCGACCTCCTCGCCTATATAGTGACAAAGCTGTATCACCATTTATATACCCACCATGTCGTTTACCTCCGAATCATTCAGACTCTCACGAGGCCGTGAATAATGAGGCAGATGGCAGTTCATATTCAATTCAAAATGACTCAATGAACCTGACTGTTTTGCGCACTGATCAATACTCGCGTCACTTTTCAAATAGACCAATGTAACATATCCACCATTTTGAGAAAATCGAAGTTGAAGTTCGACAGATTATTATTTTAACTGTTTAGAAACAATACATTTTGCAATACCATTTTTAATGTAGTCAGTGAATAATAACGTTGAAAATTCATTAAAAACGGTAAAATCACAATTTTACTTTGAATTTCATGCTACGATATAGAAAAAAAAACCACATAGGACGTTTTGACTAGTCAAGTTGTACATCAGACACGTTACATTGGACGATTTTTCTCAATGACATAATAAATGAGTGTTACATTGGACGTTTTGTCTACATGATATTAAATTCCCTTTCACAGATTTCAGAGTAGAGTACCTAACTTTAGGTTGGCCCCGCCTTTAGAAAATGAGCACCAATCATGTTAGGCAGTCCGAATGACCGAAGTAACAAATATGTACCCATAATTTCAAACTGTACATTGGACAGGTTTTGACCTATGATTCTCTTAAATAAATGAAAGTAAATTTGGATGGACGTTTTTGCATCACAAACAATGATAGAAGAGCAATAGTTTGTAAAGCTTAACTCGATTTGTTTACATTTGTTACATTGGTCTATTTGAAAAGTGACGCGAGAAATAGACCACTTTGTCAAGCAGTTTTGGTGAGACATTCTACAAGCGATTTCACATAACTGGACCAACTAATTAACCCCTTAATTCGAGCAGTGAACGTGACGTTTACTACCACTCGAACTTTGAACTAAAACAT